TCTTCTCCAGACCATTATGCCCTCCTCATGCCATTTGCTTCTACCGTTGACCTTGGGATTCTGGGAACAGTTCCAGCCACACAGAAGGTGCTTACTCAGGCTTCACCATTTGGCCCCCAAACTTCTTTTTGGCCTGTTAGCACCTCAGCCAAGGTGCCCTTGCTCTGGAGGGCTGGATGGGTGGGCTGCCAGGGGAAGATGGTCATTACACAGGGCTGAGGCTGTGCTGGGGGTGGGGGGAGTCAGGGGTGACGTCACAGGGAAGGCGACCTTGGAGCTGGGTCTAGGAGGGGAGAGGAATTGGGCAGGCAGAGAAGGGAGAAAGGGCATCCGTGGCCAAGGGAACAGCGTGATCAAAGCAGGGGAGTGTGGGGAGGGCCATGGCAGAAGTCAAGAGTGGCAGGAGGCTGGGGATGACAGGTCAGGGAGGGGTGTCTGTGCCCGGGAAAGGGTAGGGATTCATTTAAGTGGGAGAGTCCCAGGATCACACTTGTTTTAGGAAGATCAGCCCGGGCCGGATGGCGGCGGGGAGACCAGTCCTAGGAGGCTGTAGAGACAGCCCAGATGAAATGGGGAGCCCAGATGAAATTGACGATGAAAGGAAATGAGCAGTTTTCAAAAACAGCCAATTCAATAAAAAAGAGAAAGACTGGCAGTGGATTTGAAGTGGAAGCGCCAGGAGAGGCGGAGGACCCCCAGGTTCCTGGCTGGGGGAGGATTTACTGAGACAGGAGCACTAATGGGGGAGCACATTTGGGCTCAGGTCGGGAGGATCAGTGGAAAGGGATGGGGGGCGGAGAGGCCACAGAAGAATTCAAAATGTGCAAAACTCGATGTATCCTTGTATGCGTTCCAGGCATCTGTTACGGAAGGGCAGAACCGAGAAAGTGGCAGAAGAGATGGTGGGAAGTGGATGGTCTGGAAAATATTTAGGAATTAAATCAACAAGATCTAGGAGATGCCTTGATTTTTTTTTTTAAAGAGGGGGACAAACCTCGGATGGTACCCCCCTGGGGTACCAGGTACCCCCTGGGGGTAACCACGGCTGAGGTGCCTGTTTCTGAGATGGTGAACACAGGAAACGGAGGTTTGGTGGGAAGCTTAATTCATTAACTCAACAATTCTCAATTAAGCACCTACTTACTAGATGCCAGGGACTTTGTATTTAGGATAGAGCAGTGACAAAATCTCTGCTCTTATGAGACTTAAATTCAGTGAGCAGAGCTAGACAATAAAGAAACCAACAAGTAAGCATACGTCAAGTGGTGAAAATTGTTATGGGGGAAAATAAAGTAGGGGTGAGGTCCAAAATGTTTTAGGGGCGCCTGGGTAGCTCAGTCTGTTGGGTTCAGTCAGTTCAGGTCATGATCTCACAGTCCATGCGTTCGAGCCGCTTTGGGCTCCGTGCTGACAGCTCCGAGCCTGGAACCTGCTTTGGAATCTGTGTCTCCCTCTCTCTCTGCCCCTCCCCCTCTCACATTCTGTCTCTCAAAAAATAAAACGTTAAAAAAATTTGTTTCCACAATGTTTTAAAAATAGTTTTGTTTCATTTTTTTAATGTTTTTATTTATTTATTTATTTTAATTTCTAGGAGAGAGAGAGAGACAGCGTGAGCAGGGGAGGGTCAGAGAAATAAATAAAATATTAGAAATATTTTAGAAATAAAATAAATTTCTCTCCTAGAAATAAATAAAAATATTAAAAAAAAAAAAAGAATTCCTTGGTCTTTAGATCTCAATCCCACCACTTTCTAGCTGGGTGACCTTGGACAATTTATTTAATTTCTCCGTGCCTCAGTTTCACAATCTGTAAAACCATTCTAGCAGTCACTTAGTATGGTTATCGTGAAGGTTAAATACAGTTAAAAGAAAGAAAGCACTAAGAACAGTATCTGGCCCATTCTAAGCTCTGTAGACTGGGAGCATCAATTATGATCATTATCATCCAGGCTGCTGGTGTTGAGAGCAGACGGGAGGGTGTCAGTGTGGAAGGAGGGACACCATCTGGGCAGCCCCTGCAGTGGGCCAGCGGGCCAGGAGAAGTGTGAGAGTGACCCGGACCCGAGTGGAGAGAAATGGTCAGAATGAGAGAGGGCTGATAGCATCCACCGGTGGGTCCCTTGTGATATGTGAGAGAAAAAGGAGTTAGGACGGCTCCAAGGATTTTGCCCTGAGCACAAGGAGGCTGAAGTTGCCATTTGCTGAGATGGGGAGGAAGATCAGGGGTCTGCCTTTGAGTGTGATAAATGGGAGACGTCTGCTGGACGCCTCAGTGTGAAGGCAGGCAGTTGGATATACAGGTGGCCCGAGCTGGGGGTGTACGCTTGCGAGTGGTCAATATGCAGTGGATTTTGAAAGCCGTGGGGCCAGATGGCCTTACCAAGTGTGAGCCTGGGAGCCTGCCATGTTGACAGTGAGGGCTCGGCGGCTGCCACCACCCAGCTGACATCATGTTTGAAAAAGTCTGCTGACTTTTGAAAAAGCTTGAGGAAAAGGTTTTCGGTTTTGTCAGAGATCTCTCAAACGTTTGAAGCAGCATTTCTAGGGCACATAAATGGGACAGGCTTGGAAAGACACCAGAGATGGGTAAGCACACAGGAGGAAGGATGGGTGATCAAAGTGGTAAGTCTTTGCTGATCCAGAAAGCAATTTTCACACAAAAACTGGCTTTAAGGGGATGTGAATTACCGATACGACTGTATACTGGTACAAAAATAATTTAACAAAAGGCAGTGGTTAAGAGCACGGATTTTTTTTTTTTAAGTAGTCTCCATGCCCAGTGCGGGGATCGAGCTCACAACCCTGAGATCAAGAATCACATGCTCTACTGACTGAGCCAGTCGGGCACCCCCAAGAGCATGGATTTTGAAGGTGAATGCACTATGGTTCTTCAGGCTCTGCCCAGTGTGACTCTGGCTGGGCACTTCTCGGCCTCAGCTCCTCATCTGTAGAATGGGCTCAGCTTAGTGTCTCCATCACAGGCCTTGAAAGAGTGAAACAGAAATGCTGACAAAGTGCTTAGCATACCTCTGGCCCTAAACACACACACATACACACACACGCACACACGGGCTTTTTTCGTCTCTACCACTTGCACCCACACTTCTGACACCAAACGTGTTTTGTTTTTTTTTTTTTTTTCCTCACATTGACCATTCTCTGACACCAGCTGGGTGTCCTACAGTTCCGTTCAGTTATGACATTATCGACCTACAGTCAGTGTCAGATCCCACCAGTTAAGGGCTCAGTCCCAGCCTCCTCTATGTCTGATCTTCCTGGTATAAATCAGGGGTTCCCATGATTTATTTGGTAGAGAGGCTCACAGAACTCAGGGAAGTGCTTTGCTTCTATTACCTATTTATTTAAAAAGGTAAAACTCAGGAACAGCAGGATGCAAGAGACGAATAGGACAAAGCACGTGGTGGCTGAACACAGCTTCCACATCCCCTCTGGGAGCACCACCCTCCCAGCACCTTGATGGGCTCGCCGATCTAGAAGCTCTCCGAATCCCTTTGGTTAGGATTTTTATGGGGGGCTCATAATGGAGGTGTGTTTGATGAAATCATTGACCATTGGTGATTGAACTCAGTCTCCAGCCCCTCTCCTCTACCCAAAGATCAGGGGTTGGGGGAGGGGTGGGGAGGCTGAAATTTCCAACCCTCCAATCATGTGGCTGGGTTCTCTGGCACCCCCCCACCCATCATTAGGGGTTTTCTAAGAGTTACCTCAGTAATATGACTGAAAGGGGTTTGTTATGACAAAAAAAGGGGCACCTCTTAACCCTATCATTCAGAAATTCCAAGGAATTTCCTAGGCCAGGAACTAGAATTGGATGAAAATCAAATTTATTATATTATAATTATAGCCAATATGACAGGCTCACAATCAAGTGTTGATATCTAACTGGAAAGGGTACTAAAAAAAAAAAAATTTAGGATAGAATGAAGGGGCAGTGGAGAGGGGGCTGGAATCAGTCCTCTGGGCAGGTATGAATTAATTCAGAGGCGCGTGACCTGTGCCATTACCGAGGCTTCTCCACTCTCAGAAGGGACTCACTTCTTGGTTTCACACTCTGCTCTCCCTGTCTTGAAATTCGTAATAATTTTCTCCTTGAAATTGTGTCTTGGAAGGAAGTCCGATGGGACAGTGAGGCACGTGTGTGAACAGAGAAGATACACCAGGTGGCAGCAGGTGGGCCCCGGCCAGCAAGTATGGCGGGCGGCGGACAGCGTGGGCGCCCACTCAGTGTGCACCCACACGGCTGGGCAGGCTGGGATCTGTGCTCAGCCTGGCAGCAGCGGAATATGGCTGCAGTCCACCAAAGGCATGGTGAGAGAAGGGGCCCCACATGGAAGGGCCCATCCAGTAGATCTATGCACACGTGAGCTCTGCAGCCTAAGTCTGGGACACAAACTGCCAGCACTTGGGCAGGAAACAGTCAGTAACTTATTACAAAACCAAAGCATAGATATGGATGTTGCAATAAAGCCTGCCAGGGAGTTGCCGATTCTTCTGGATGTAGAATCCCTGGTTCTGAAAACCGCTCCTAATATTGCAAAGCAAATATTCAGAGGATTACTAGAACTCGAAGGCCAAGGTCACATTTTACAGAAAATCGTTCTATTTTCATATGAAGTCTCATTGTTAATGAGAAAGGCAATTTTAAGTTAATTTTTTTCTTGTAATCAAAGATATGCCAGTCAGGTGCCTAAACAGGTCATTAAAATTATAGACAAATTATGAAGTCACTTTCTTTTCTTTTTGTCCCAGAGGAGAGCGTGAATGCTCTCCCCTGCTATTAGAAATTGCACAGTTAACAGGCACCTGGGCGGCTCCGTCGGTTAAGCGTCCGACTTCAGCCCAGGTCATGATCTCGTGGTTCGTGAGTTCAAGCCCCGAGTCCAGCTCTGTGAGGACAGCTCAGAGCCTGGAGCCTGCTTGTGGTTCTGTGTCCCCTTTCCTCTCTGCCCCTGCCCCGCTTGCGCTGTCTCTCTCTCTCTCAAAAATAAAAATCAGTGTTAAAAATTTTTTTTGCACAGTTCAGTTCATTTTCACACATCTGGAGAAATCACAAAGGTCAGTGTGGCCTAGGTGCAGTGTATGCGCCTCACCCTGGGAGAACACCTTGGTGGTCGCCGTGTACCCCCTGCTACGTAAGTATCACCTTCAGCATGTTGTAAAACGTCACAAGTTACAGATAATGTTAAAGGAAATATTAAAACGTCACTGTATAAACTTACATATTAAATTCAGGCATATGTGGAATTGATTTTCCATAGACTTCAATCTTTTGACAAACTGTTTCACGAGACTCATCAGCTCTAAATGTACTAATTATAACAAATAAAATCTTTTGAAAGGAAAAAAAATGTATGTTAGTACCTTAAACTGCATTTTAAAATATTTTTTTTAATGTTTATTTATTTCTGAGAGAGAGAGAGAGAGTGCAAGTAGGGGAGGGACAGAGACAGAGGGAGACACAGAATTCCAATCAGGCTCCAACCTCTGAGCTGTCAGCATGGAGCCTGACGTGGGGTTCGCACTCAGGAACCGTGAGATCGTGACCTGGGCTGAAGCCGGACACTTAACCGACTGAGCCACCCAGGTGCCCCGTTTAACTGCATTTTTAATGTTTTTAAAAAATGTTTATTTTACTTGAGAGAGAGAGAGAGAATGAGAAGGGGAGGGGCAGAGAGAGAGGGAGACACAGAATCCAAAGCAGGCTCCAGGTTCTGAGCCATCAGCACAGAGCCCGAAGTGGGGCTTGAACCCACAAGCTGTGAGATCATGACCTGAGCCCTAGTTGGATGCCCAACCGACCTAGCCACCCAGGCGCCCCTAAACTGCATTTTTTAAAACTGCTTTTTGAATAAGAGACCCTGAAATTTTTGTAGGGGCCCTGATTCTGAAAACAAGTATTTCTTCAAGAGGATTTTCATATTTCCCCAAATTATTCTGACTCTGTTAAAACCCTTTGGGGCTTTTATTGATTTCTGTCAAGTCCAATGAATGGTCATCATGTTATCACTTGTTTGACAGCTGGTCATCTTTGCGGCGGCCACTCTCCACTGCAATGTCCTTCTCATCCCAATCTGGGAGCCATCTTCTCCAGCTAAGGCTCATTCTTCTGAGTAGTAGTACCTCCACCCCCCACCCCCCTCAAGTCCCCAGTCCCCGCGGCAGATCCCAGTCCTTTGGATTCAGATTCTAATGTTTGAAGTCCTTTGGCAGGTAAGGTCTGTGACAAGTGCTTTGGTAACTTCAGAGTGGAGGAAATAGGTGAATAATGGTGACGAAAACAGAACATACAAATGGTGGGCGATGTGACTATTAAGCGATAACACGAATGATGTGAAAAATATCATAACAGTGACTCCGCAGGTGTGCCCTTCTGTCTGGTGGCTCGCAGTTCCATTAGTCTTCTTGAAGCCTGGGTTGGGGGTGGGGAGGGGAATGCCGGGGAAGGGCTGTTACAGGTGAAGGAGCCTTCTGGGGACAGTCACACTCTTGTTTGCAAGCAGTTCCAGCCCTCAAGCCTCCTTAAAAGCAAGAGGAGGAAGGTAGAACCCTGGTAGACCGCAGCGAGCTCGTGACACTTTCGGAATGGTGCCTCTTCCGGGCTCCTCCAGCCTCCTCCCACTCCCGATTGGCCAATCCTTTCACCCCATCGTGGAGGGAAGCAATCTGATTGGCTTAGTCATGGAAGTGGGAGGTGCCCTTTATAGCTGCCTCGGCATCAAGGCCCTGGGACCCATCAGCCTATGAGAGAGCGACCTGCGGGTCAGGTGCTCACCTCTGTCCAGTCAGAGGCCTGGCGGTGGGACTAAGGCAGATCTAAGGCGGGACTTGCGGACAGCTCAGGGCGCAGGGGTGGCCAGACTGTGACGGCCAGGCCGATACAGAGGACCCAGCTCAACTGCTACTCTCCGACTACCGAGCTCCTGCGCCTCTGCCAGGGAGTGGTTCTCAGGCTCCTCAGCCCCCTTTACTCACTCCATCACTCCCCGATCTGCTGCTCTTTCCTCAAATAGATCTAGATTTCCTCCACGCTTATGTCCATGGTGACCTTCCCGTCTGAACAATGGGCAGCAACTTTTTGGTTGCCATCTGACCACAGGAGTGGTCTTTTAAAAACACACACCAGGATTGGGGCGCCTGGGTGGCTCAGTCGGTTGATGGTCCAACTTCGGGTCAGGTCATAATCTCCTGGTTCGTGGGTTCGAGCCCCGCATCAGGCTTGCTGCTGTCAGCCTGTCAGTGCAGAGCCTGCTTCAGGTCCTCTGTCCCTCCCCTACTTGCGCTCTCCCCCCAAATAAATAAACATTAAAAAAAGTAAAAACCCACACCAGGGTGGCCATCCGTCCGCCCTTCAGTGGTGTTCGCATCACTCAGTTGGAACCAGACCTATGGAAGGCTCAAGGTCCTGTGCAGTGGGACCCCTGAATACCTTCTGGCCTCTCCCTCCTTCTCTCCTGCGTGTCTGCCACACCTGCCTTCCCCCACTCCCAAGCTTCTCCTGGGCCAGGGACCGGCACCTTTCAGTTCCTCTCTCCAGATCACCCAGCAGCCCACCCCCTTGCCACTGAACCCCTAATCATCCTAGAGAGCTCAGATGAAGGGTCACATGCTCAGAGGGTCTGTATCTGAGCCCGGGTCTCAACTTGTATCTTCTGACATTCTCTCAGCAGCGGCCACCACTTACGTTTTCCTTTGCATGTTGGTTTAACATCCATGCCCCCTGCTGGAAGACTCTGTGATGTCAAGGGCTGTCCACGAGCACAGTGTCTTGATAAGTATCGTGCCACCTCGGGTCACTAACTTTGGATACAGTGCAAATACGCGTAGGTCTGGATGGAATCTTAGTTGCCTCTAGAAATTGGGAAAGGGACCAGGGAATGGGGACAGGCTGGGTACGCACACACTTGTAAAGCTGGGGGGTACTGGCATCAACTGTAATGATTTCACTTTTCCTGAACAGTAACGAACAAATAAAGCATATGCCAGGTCAGGGGAGTGAGGATGGGAATCCCAAGCAACGCTCCTGGAGAACAGAACACTGTGACACGTGGCAATCGGTTGGGTTTTGTCTTCACTTTATTACTATGTCACCAGAAGTCACCACCTTCACTTGGTTCACCACAAAAGGACAGATGTCATAAAGGAGGGTGCCATGGGGCCACTGGATTCACTCTTGAGACTTAACCAGGTGGTGGGGGGAGTCCAGAGTGGGGGCCCAGAATGGGGACCGTCATTCACTGCACACACGCACACACACAGAGATATATTTGTGGAGCCTTATATTATACATCTTATATATAGAAAATATATATATTTATACTATACACAGGCAGTTACGCTGCGGGAGGGCCGGGCCACCCAGGCGAGGGCTGTGGGCACCAGGGGAGGGGGAGTGGGAGTATCACATCAAGGGGCAGCGCTGGGAGATGGCTGGACCAGCCCATCATCCTCCTACAAACTCTTAGGAAGGGTGGTCCCTCTTCCTGCTCCTTAGAGAATCAGAGGGGTCTTGGGCCAAGGTCGGGGGGCCCTCAAGGGGTAACAAGTGGGAGCTCTTGGTTACATGGGGGATGCCTGAGACCCCCAAGCCTTTGAAGATCAAAACTCACCAGGGAACGTTGAAATAGGGAGCAGATGCCAGTCTCTGGGGAACTAGTCCAGTGGTTACACCCCCAGTACCAGAAGCCACCCCCAGGCAGACGGGCGGTGATTATGCAGGGTGAGTGTTAACTCGGGGGCGAGACCTGGGTCCCACACCTCTGCCCCTGTGCGTGACTTTGGACAAGTCACTGTCTTCCTGGCTGGCTCTACCATCTCTAAGGGCGCTTTCAGCTCTAATCTTATATGGAACCCAGCTTTCCTGGGTCCTCTCTTGCACTTGGTGGAAGCAGGGAGCCCAAACTTGGCAAGGTCAGGCTGTAGGGAGGTGGGGGGCTTCCAAAAAAAAAAAAAAAGGCTTGGAAGCAAGGGAGAGGCAGAGGGAGGCTAAGAGTACACCACTGGCTTTGGAATACAGCTTGGGAGCGGGGGGGAGGGGGGGGCTGTCCTCAGCCAGGGGAAGTGGCGGAGCATCACTACCAACCTCCCGGAAGCGGAGTCAGGAGCCCTGGGTCTTGGCCGAATCCAGCCCTCCGCCCTCTCTCCCTCCACCATTGGCTGGTCCCCGCCGACAGCCAGCCTGATGGTGGGGTCACAGCTGGGCTTCACCCCAAGTCGAGGAAGGAATGCAAAGTGAGATGATTCAGCACCCTGCAGTCTCCGTGTGTCTGTTGGCAGGGGGGGGTGCTCCGCGGGGAGTGGGCGAGGGGAAGGGGCTCTCACAGCCTCCTGCGCGGGCACAGAACCTCACTCTGCCAGAAACACACCCGCAGCCACCCACACCCTTACCTGCTTCGTAAGCCTGCTCTGGTACACGGGTCCCGCCGCTCGGCCTGGCAGAGACGGCAACCTCATCCCGGTCCCCACTCGGGCCACTGGGAGCGAGGGTCCCATAGACAGAGTCCCTCCGCCAGATGTGTAAGCCCGGGGTCAGCAACAACCAGCTGTGACTCAGCTGTCTGCGCCTCTCTGCCATCACTGCTGCCCCCGGTGAGGGCGCAGACGGGCCGGGGCTCAGGTCCCTGCTCCACAGCAAACTCACACTCAGCCTCCGTTTCCTCTTGCGTTAAGTGGGGACAGTGGTGCGACTTCCATATCTCTCCCTCCTTGCCTCTCTGTGGTGCTGCTCCTGCCTCTCCTCTGGCCCCTCCCAGGGGAGCCTCGCCCCTTCGCAAGCTCTCATTACAGCACACTGCCCTCTGGGGGACCCTGGGTAGCGGCGGGTTTGGGGTGCCTCTCTGGACTGTCACCTTGCATGCCTTCGGGGTCCCTGGTATAACTGTGGAGTCAACTGGCCAGTGAGCGAGTGTCACCTGCCTCTGAGGATTCTTGGGGGAATGGGGTGCCGCTGGCGGGGACGTCCAGCATGGGGCCAAACCACAACTCCCCTGCCTTGCTCCCCAAGGCACTGGCAGGTGGACACTGGGCCCCGGGTCTCCCCACCTCTATCCTGTGAGGCTTCTCGCTCCCCAAGGCTCAGTGAAGAGCCCACCTGTGCAGGAGTCTCTGTGCAGGGGTCCCCAGCCCTCCCTGTGCCTTTGGAGACACCTGCCACCATCGCCACTACAGCACCCCCACCCCCCCGGCCGGCCATGCACCAAGGGGCTCTCAGTGCTCATCCTGGGAGCAGCTGGTCCATGGCAGCAGCTCAATGGCTGGCCTTGCTGGGTCCAGAGTCCCTGCTCTCTCTACTCGGACTTCCACCCCGCCCTCTCATCAGGCCTTTTGGAAGGCCGTGGAAGGCCCCTCCGCGCCCTTGGCAGTTCCCGCCCCTGAGCCCCTGGCTAAGCCTGGCCGAGGGAAAGATGGCACAGTGTCCCAGATCAGTTCTGTTTCCTGGGAGGTCACAAGAGCAGGGAATTGGGGCACCTGCTGGGTGGCTGGAACCACGAGCCCCAGGCAGCAAAGCCCGGCCCCGCCACTTACTGCTGTGACCTTGGGACGCGTGCATCCTGTCCTGGGCCTCCTCGTCCACCTGGCCCTGGGCAGGGACAGCGGTCAGTCCTTCGGGAGGCCGCAGAGGGTGCCGGAGCTCCCGGTGGGGCGCGCACAGCATGGGGCGGTACGGGGTGGGGGTGGGGGGACCAGCGAGTGAGGCCCTCCCAGCCGGACAGGAGGCCGGGGCGGGGGGCTGGTGGGGACATGGGGAGAGGGGCCTAGAGACAGGGCTGTTCCACCTCGGGGGCGGCCAGCCAGGCAGAACAGGCCCCTGGCTTGCAGCAGAATCAGGGTATCTCACGGGCGGAGGCCCCCAGGCCTCCCAGAGTGTGATGACAGCACTGGGCGGCGGAGCCCCGGGCGGGGGGATGGGGAGGGCAGGGAGGACGGGGGACAGCAGGTGCTCCGCAGTCACGTGGCCTGGGCTTGGCGCCGACTCCCTCACCGGCTGCCGAGCGGCCCTGGGCAAGTGACCTTGGCTTCTCCAGGCCTCAGTTTCCTCAACCACGGAACGGAGACGGCCCCAACACTCGTGGCTGGGCTGTTGTCCCTCCAGCGGGTGACAGCCCCCAGTGTCCTGCAGGAGTTCACACTCGCCTGGGAGCCAAACCCTCCCAGCATCATCCAGGTCTCTCTCTGGCACCGCTCCCACCGCCGGTACCAACGGGGCCTCCTCTGTCCCTCGTCTCCCCGCTTTCCGGGACCACCTCTCACTGGTGTCAAGCGCACACCTGGCACACAGCAGGCACCCCACGAGCGCCGAGGACACAATGACTGGACGCAAACACCCCCAGCCCCCGCCGGACAGACTTGCACACATGTGTAGCTGCACCCCCAACACCTTACTGCCCGTCCCGCCCCGAGCGGCTCTGCACCTCAGTGGAGCGACCCAGAGGCTGCTGAGGTACTGGGCAGGGCAGCCTGGGAGCGGGGGTGGGGGTCTGGGTGCGGGAAGGAGGAAAGGGCTGGGGCGGCCGGGGCGGGGACAGGCGAGGGGCAGGCGGTCACTGCAGCTCAGTAGCCCTGTGACTGGTAGCCCTGGGGCTCGGCGTCAAAGGCGTTGGCCGGCTGCTGGTAGGTACCGCCCATGCCAGCGGGGTCCGGCCCGGTGCTGGGCTCTACGTAGGGGGCGTAAGGCGTGCTGGAGTCCTGGCTGGGGTCCATGTAGTCCTGGGAGAAGAGGGCCGAGTCGGCGCCAATCTGGTACCGCTGGAAGGCCAGCACGGCCTGGCCCGCCTGGGGACGGGGGGCCGGCGGGGCCGAGGGCAGGCGGGGAGGGGGCGGTTAGAGGAGAGACAGACAAGAACGCTGGGTTAGTGGCAGTTAGTTCACAGGACACAGGCAATAGAGGGTTAAATATCCTCAAAGCACCAAAGACGAAACCAAGCTTGACCGAGGGGAAGAAATTCTGTCCTTGTCGCCAGCCCTCAAGAGATCCAGAACCACCCGGTCCAGCCAGAAGGACCGTCACAAGTCCCTTTCTTATGTCCCCCAATCCCAGAGGTCACTGTGGGTCACCTCAAATTTTCCACTGTGGAGTGTTAAAGTGGCCCAGAGGCCACAACATTCTTCTCAAACTGTGTTCTCAAGGGTGTTTGTGGGATGAGGGGGCAGTTTCTGGGCGTGCTGGAAAACTGCTATCTCCTAAAAGCCACCTGATCTCTCCTGCAGCTCGGTGAAATGATGCGACTAAGGCCTGGCCGGCACATCAGCTCAAGCCCTTCATCCCACCCTTTGACCGGACGCCTGGGGCGTAGATGTGGTGGCTGGAGCTCCCGCAGCCGCGCAGTACCACGAGGTCCCTAAGCTAATTGTAGTGACGGAAGGGGTCTGGGTCACTGAAGACTTCTGGAGCCACCATGCCAGTCCTGGACTGTCTTCTCAGACTTGGACTTCATTTAAACCACTGCTATTCACAGTTTGGTCAAACAAGTTTGGGAAACTGAGTTCAACAGGGTAAAAAATAAGTTTCAGGACCACAGGACTTGTGAGAGCCTTGACTAACATCTACCGGGATCCCCGGGGGAAAAGCTATGGCAAAGTAACATTTGCCAACCTTACTGGACCAATGAAGCCCTCCTCCCAAGGGACCTAGCTGGGAAAGACTTGTCTACAATGTATGTACATAGGTGGGAAATTCTTTTTCGGTAGAAGCTATTACATTGCTATTAAGGACAATGACACTGACCACCCCAAGCCAGGGAATGAATTTAAAACATAGTTTTTAGGGGCGCCTGGGTGGCTTAGTCGGTTGGGCGTCCGACTTTCGCTTAGGTCATGATCTCGCGGTTCGTGGGTTCGAGCCCCGCGTCAGGCTCTGTGCTGACTGCCAGCTCGGAGCCTGGAGCCTGTTTCAGTCTGTGACTCCCTCTCTCTCTGACCCTCCCCTGCTCACGCTGTCTCTCTCTCTCTCCTAGAAATAAATAAAAATATTAAAAAAATAAATAAATAAACATTTAAAAAAAATAAAATAAAACATAGTTTTTAGGTTTACATTGAAAGCCTTCTCCAACGATCTTTCTAGCAGCTAATCTGCCTGTGATGGAAAGATGCTAATGCTCTACATACCCATTTCTAGGCTGGAGGACTGAGGCTTAGTTAAGGGATGGCAGGGTTAGTGCTGGAATCCAGACCTGAACACAGAAGGCCCATTCCTTCCCACTGATCAGCCCCCTCACAAGGGAATAAACCAACCAGGAAGCTGAAAGGGCCATCTGGTGAGAGGCAGGGCGTGAAGTGTGCTTGGCATTTTCTCCTAGAAAGTCCAGAAGCCCAAGTGACTAGGCACTGACTTTTGATTTGTGTTGCTCGTAAAAGCTCTGAGGGGTGGCCCTTCCTGAATCCTGGCTGTTTAAAGCAGTGCAGGAGCCTAAGAAAGGCAGACCAGCCCCAAAGGAGTTGAGCGGAGACGATCGCGCCTCCCTTGGCCAGCCAGTTCGAGGCCACACAAGGGCATGGGGCGGGCGGGGGGGGAGTTGGTGCACGGGACCCTGCTGGACTTGGGGGCAGAGGGGAGGCTTTGCTCAGAGCCCAGGGACCTGGTGGCCACCTGGCACTGCTTCTTCGGTGTGGGGAAGCTCTCTGCAGCAAGCTGTGTGCACTTGTATGCCTCTAGCATTAGGAAGCTCACTCTCTTTAAGCTTTGCTTTAGGGGCCTGTTTGCTCTAATACCCCCTCAGCTCCTGCAGAGTGGAGAGGTGGCTCCTGCCCAGGCAGCTAAAGGCCCTCAAACTGTGTAGAACTGGAGATCAAGGTCTTCTGGAAGAACAAGGGCTCACCACGTGAGGCTCGCCCCCAAAGTAGAGATTATGGAGGTGTCTCTGACTCATTGGAGAGAATGGATGAAGGGATGAGTGGCCAGAAGAGCCGACATTTATTGAGCATCTGTGCCAGGCCCCGGGCCAGCCTTTGTTTCATCCACACAATAGTCCTGAGAGGTTGGTCCACTGGGTAGTGAACAGAGGCTCAGAGAGGTGCAGGGGTTTGCCCAGGGTCACCCAGCATATGAGAGCAGGGCGGGACCCAGAGTCCTCTGACGTCCTCGGCCAGGGCCCCATCGGCAGCCAGCCTCCACGGGGACTGTATGGTCAGCCTTCGTGCTGCAGCGAGAACAGGCTCTCGCACTGTGTCTACAGCTCAGCACATCAGCAGCCCACGTATAGAGCCGACTCCGACCCTCTGATAGCCCATGGACGTCTCTCTGGGGGAGATTTCAATTTCTCTGTGTTGCCCTCCCCAGCCCGTGGGCTCCTGGGGCCAGGGACCCCGTCTGATTCATTACTAGGCACAAAACAGCTGCTCAATAAATGTTTACTGAATGAACGAACATTGGAAAAATAAAGGAGGCAACGAATGAGTGAGTGGCGAGTCTTAACTGGCCTCTCAGACCAGCCTTCCACTGCCCTGCGTGCCCTGGTATCCTGGCCCCAGCCCCCCAGCCTGCCACTGGGCAGGGGCTAGGGCGCTCCCTGCCCCCGGGAAGCCAGGCCGGCCTACGGCTGTGCCGAGGCGGGAAACAGTGTGTTGTATTCCTCTTGGAAGGTAAGGTCCTTCAATCTCCGCACGGCCAGGGCTGCGGTCAGGCTCTGCCAGGAGAGAGCAGGGGTGAGGACAGTGCGGAAGGGCCTGGAAAGGCAGAAGTGCCAGCAGGGGAGCTGGCCTCCGGGGGCACCCGTCAATCAGGCTTTTGGACCTGCCCCCCGGAAGTCCTGACGTCCAATCACTTCTCCTCCTCCTCCGTGAACTCCACCCCCATGTCAGGATCTCCCTGTAGGACTGGGTGGGTGCTGTGGTTCCCACAGGCGGGGCACCTTCTCTGGTCTGAGATCCCCTGGGGTCACCTGACTCTTCCTGCCCAGCCTTGAGGACACGGAGGGCTGGTGTGACCTCGGCTGGCGTGCTGGGGCCTGAGCCACAGGTGTTCCCCTCCAGACCCTGGCTCCTAATATCGTATTGGGAGAGGGGCCCCAAGAGAAACTGGATATTCAGGGCAGGAAGTCGCTCCAGGAGAAGCCCAGGAGGGCAGAGCGACACAAGGAGGCTGCAGCCTGGCAGGAAGGGCTAGGGCTCCTGTATTCGGCCCCGGGGTCTCCTTGCCGACGGCTGGGCCCAGGGCTGCTGGTAAACTTGGAGGGGACGGAGCTGCGCGCAGGGGCGGGAGAACCCTTGAGTTGGGGGCCTGGGGCCAACATGACCCAGATATCTGCAGGAGGGAGGCGAGGGGAGAAGAAATGCACCGAGGTGACCTGAAACCCGTGGGAATGAGGGCCCAGCCTTGCTGTCATGTGGGGGCTGCTGGAGACCAGTGGGTCCAGAGCCTGCCCAGGGGTGCCGTTTGGCCAGCGGGGCCCAGAGACGCGCTTTCTTTGACACACGCTATACTTTTTTTTTTTTTTTAACTTGAATTGCTAACACGTAACGATCAGGTTTCACACAGAAATTCAGATTTCTGGCTTCTGTGGAAAAATGGGAAGAGCTGGCCTGTGTGGGTCCCTATTCCTGCTTTGGAACAGGGATCAAGGGTGTCCTTTTGGGGGCATGCACCTGCCGCCCGGCCCACTCACTCGTTCTCACGTGCTGCCTACCACACGGACATCTGAGTTTGTGACGCCCTTCCCCCCACCTCACCCCCGCCCCACCAAAGTCAATCTCCTGATTTTAGAGATGGGAAGATAATGGGCTGGAAAACTACAGGCAACCCCAACAAGTGATCCTGGGCTCCTTCCCGGCCTCGGAACTGCAAAGCCTTATCTCCCCACCGAGGCCCCCACTTGTGTCTGTAAGAGGTTATAGTAAACACCCACGGCCCAGCTACCAGGGTGCTTAGCAGGGGCGTTCGTGACCCCTGGAAGGTTGCTCTGTGCCAGAGTGAGGGTCTACCACCACGGGGTGACCTTGCTGGCGATGGCAGCAGACTCCTTCCCAGGGAGCAGCCCCGTGGGACAGCCGAGGAGAGACCGTGCCCTGTGGGGGTCACTTTTGGGCTCCTGGAGGTGGAATGCAAGTCCCTGGCTGAGCTGAAAGGCCGCCGGCCTGGGAGCCCGAGGGGGCGGGTGGGGGCGGGCCGTGTACTCACCCACGTAAAGATGGAGAAGAAGGAGAAGGCGATGGCGGCCCGAGCTGCATCTGTGCCTTCATTCATCGGGTTGTCCTTGGGCTTGGACACCTGCCACTGGTTGGCCAGGAAGCAGAAACCCACGAACCAGAGAAAGGCCCAGAAGGCTGCAGTGTCCACCAGGGCCGGGCAGAAGGGGCCACGCATGACAGAGGGCGAGTGGGGAGGAAGTGGGGGGAAACGGGCAACAGGGAGGGGTTTAGGAGCACGCCTCCCGCACTCCCCCACCCCCAAAGGGAGAGGCGGGGGCCGGGGAGGGGCAGAGAGGGGAGCACAGGGAAGGTGAGGCGAGAACAGGGAGGTCAGTCAGACGCAGAGTGGGAGAGGGACCACAGAGAGGAGCCGGCCGTGCAGACGGCGAGGACCGAGGACGGGAGCAGAGCCGGGGAGAGGCAGGGGAGGCGAGGGGAGGGGAGGAGGGAGAGACAGAGAGAAAAGTCAGCCTAGGCGGGCATTTCTGAAGCCGAACACTGATTTCCCTGCGGAATCCCCTGCCCCGGGACGGGTCTGCCCTGCGGCAGTCTGGGAGGAGCTCTGATCCGACCCCCTGCCTCCCAGAACACTGGGCAGAGAGGAGGAGGCGGAGGCTGGGCAAGGGGGGCAGCTTATCCTCGGAGGATACCCAGGGGCTGCCCAGAGAGGACCAGAGCTGCTCAGACAAAGCGCGTGTGTGCCAAGGGGCTGGGGCATCTGGAGACCGACATCTCCCATAGGCACTGCTGGGGAACCCTGGGGCTCCGTGGAACACAGCTCGAGAACCATTAATTTCCCTCTATCCTTCCAGTCTAAGGGACTGGTCTCCCTGCTTATGGTTAGCCGGGCTCATCCTGAGGATCCCAGACCCAGGAATTGGGGGGAGGGGTCCCCTAACCAAAGAGCCAGGACCACAGGCAAAGCCCCGCGGCCTCTCAACCCAAGCGCCCAGTGAACAGACTTCAGAACTTGTGGGGACAGAAGTCAGGTCATCTCTGCCAAAGGCTGTTTCTGGAAGACGTGGGCAGCGGGTCACGTTCAGGTCCTGACCCTCCCGTGTGCCAGGCCATCAGTCCTGTCTTCCTCCTCCACCACGGGAGGCAGCACAGAAGAGGCCTCTGAGGGAAGGGACACTGTGTCCCGTCCCTGCTACGGGGCTGTGGGCTCTTCCAGGGCCTCGGGCCCAGCCCTGGTCTCACCACTCCCTGTTGCCAGCCACGTGACCCCAAGTCTGTCCCTTCGCCCGCCCGCGCCTCAGCTTCCTCATCTGGAAAATGGGCTAAGGGGACAGCTGCCTCCTAGGTGCGCACGAGGATTAACGGGCCCGTGGCCGGGACAGCCCGCTGCAGGCTCTGGCGTGTGTGGGGGGGGGGCTTACTCACCAGGGTGGGGAACTCACCTGAGACACCGATGTCGGACAGGACGGCTTTCTTGCGGTCCTTCACGCTGCTGATCTGTGGGAAGTAGACGTCCAGGGCCAGGTAGAGCAGGCAGGTGAGGAAGGTGAGCACGCCCACGGCCACGCCATAGCTGCAGGCATTGGGGTTGCGGTTGTAGATGCAGAATGTCTCGCCCTCCGAGTTGTTGTTGAGGTAGCCCTCGTTCACGATGGAGCCGAACACCACAATGGAGAACACCTGTGGGGGGAGGGTCGGGGCGGGGGAGGCGGGGAAGGCATGAGACCCAGGCCCGCAGAAGGGGAGGCTACCGCCCTCGGCCTGCTGCCTGCCCCTGCCCCAGTGAGCCCTTTCCACTCCCAACAGCCGCAAGGCTGGAGCTAAACAGGCAGTTCAGAGGGGAGGCCCAGAGAGGGAGGGCCACTTGCTTAGGGTCACACAGCGCAGGAGGGGCCAATCACTTCCTTCCTCGGCTTCAGGCAGAACAGGTCCCTCTGACCACAGACTTGGCCCTAGCAACCCACCAGCCAGGTGCTGGGAGGTCTTCCTGGGCCCTGACACCGAGATTCCTCTAGAACTGGACCCGGCCTCCCAGAATGAGTGGGGGGCACGCCCTTCTGAGAGGTGGACCTGCCAAGCCCCCACGCCCAGGCCCTCTAGGCTAACTCCTCCAGATGCTGGCACATGCCCATCAGGTGTTCCATCTGGTGCTCCCCACCCCTCTGTTGGGGGCCGTGGTGGGTCCTGTCCTTGGCCCCCCACCCCTTCCCTGTAGCCCAGACACTGGCAAATGGAAGGAGGGGTGAATCAAAAAGTAACAGCGGCCGCGATCCTGCCAGTTACAGGGCCGCCAGCGCTACCCCAAGGGCCGCACACGTGGTCCCCCGCTTAGCCCCCCAACAAGCCTCTGGGGCCAGCTGAGGTGGCCCCGGCCAACCCCACCTCTGGCATCCACTCCCTTGTGCAACCTTCTTCTCCCCCCCCCCCGTCCCCCCTGCCGAGCGGGGGCTGGGCTTTGTGGTTGGAGCAAACGGAACATCATCGCAGGAAGCGATGGATAACATCTCTGCGAGGAGACCACAAGGACGCTGGCCGCCACCTTGCTCGCCCTCTCTTGCTGCCTCCTCCTTGCTCGCTCCGATGCAAAAGCTGCCTTGGTCTGAGCTGCCCTCTGGAGGGGCCCATGTGTTTTTTAATGGTTTTTCAGCCATAAACGAATGAATGAACAAACAAACAAACAAACAAAAGCCAGTCTGACACATGCTACAGCTGGATGAACCTTAAAATGAGTAAAAAGAGGGGCTCCTGGGGGGCTCAGCTGGTTATGTGTCTGACTTGGCTCAGGTCATGATCTCACAGTTCGTGGGTTCAAGCCCCACATTGGGCTCTGTGCTGACAGCTCGGAGCCTGGAGCTGCTTCAGATTCTGTCTCCCTCTCTCTCTGCCCCTCCCCCGTTCACACTTTGTCTCTTTCTCTCTCAGAAATAAACATTAAATGATTTTTAAAAAACGGTTAATTGCACGGTATGTGAATTTTTCTGCAATCAGAGAAAAGATCGTGGGTTTGTGTCCTGGTTCAACCACGGGCACGGAGGCGGGCCATGGTGCCCCAAAAGCCCCACATCTGCTCGTCCAGACCCGGGCATGCTGGCTCTCCGCCTGGCCCCGTCACAGGTTCTACATCTTTGCCATCACCCCGTGGAGTACAGAGGGCACCTGGTGCTGCCCCCCATTAGCAGTGTAGGGAAACTGAGGCACAGAAAGTGTAGGTGGCACTATTGTCAGAAGTACAGGCTCAACTTGAACCCAAGGGTCCTGATTCCCAGCCCTGTGCTCTTTCTCACCTGACTAAGCTGACTCTCAGCCTCAGGAGGTGGGCCCTGACGAGGCATAGTCTTTCCAGACGCCTGAGGGGCCAGGAGTGTGGCTGAGTGCCAAGTCTGGTGTGTGTGGGGTCGCACACAGGAGGGGAGAGGCAGGAAGCCCTGACTTCACAGCAATTGTCTAAGGGACTCTGGGCTACTGACACGGTCTTGACAAGCAAGGCAGACGTGGGAGATGCAGGCAGGCTCTCATGGCCAGCTGCTTGAGTTGCACACAGCACAACCCTGGGACTGCCATTCACACAGCCCCCTTGGACCTGTGCACCAAGACAGGTCCACAAGGTTCCTACCAAGAAACTGCCACGTTGGGAATCTGAGGCCCAGCCCTAGACGTCACCCCATGTCCCCAATCCAGCAGAATGGAAAAGCTTCTTGATTAGAGAAGAAGGGGTGAGTCACACAGGGTGGCTGAAGTCAAATCCCAGGCCTGCTGCTTATGCTGTGAGGCCTCAGGCAAACGACTTAACCTCTCTGAGCCTCAGATTGGTCCTCGGCAAAAAGTAACCTTCCGTCTGGGACTCCCGAGAGAGTGACACGCACGCGTCCTGAGCAGAGCAGTGCACGGCGCGGCTGAGCAAGGGTTAACTCCCTTCTCCAGAGGCCTGAGGAGAGAAGGCAGAGCACCGGGAAGGGCCGCCAGGGGTGGGTACAAGGGTAGACCCCCTTCCAAGGGAAGGCCGGGAGGAGGGGGGAGGGGAAGCAGGCAGGCGGACGTTGGGGCTTTGGGGACAGCGGAGGAGGAACCATTAAGATGGGCCCCCTCTTGGGGGAGAGAGGCAGGGAGTCCCTGAGGCACGTGCTGGAGACAGTGGGTCCCCAGGAGGGTGAGGAACAAGATCAAAACATCCTCCAAGGAGCCGGCGGGGGCCCCGGGCAGCGCGGAGAGAGGAGCTCTGGGCCTCCTCCGGGCCCCGTCCACCCCACGGCTCCAGCAGACCGCGCGCCCCGCAGTCAGGCCTTCCTCACAGGTCAAAGTCACCATGGGCAAGTGACTTCTCAGAGCCTCGGTCCCCTCATCTGGAAAGCCCGGCCACCACAGCACCTGAACTAGCAGCGTGCGGCGAGGAACGGATGAGGTCATGCCTGTAAGGACCCACGTGTGATATGGAGTCGGCGCCCCCAAAACGCCAGAGTGACGTGAAACAAGCAGAAGAGATAACGAAGCAAGGGCGGGCGGTGGCCATGCCGGAAGGGAGGCCGCGGTGCTCAGGGAAGGGGCCAAGGCGAGGATTTTTGAGCTGAGCTGAGATGCCAGCCCTGCCAAGAGGCGGGAAGCGTGTTTCAGGCAGAACAGAAGGGGCAAAGGCCGAAAAGGTGGGAGAAGAGCCAGCGATGGAGGAGTAGGGCTGGAGGTGCACGGGACGCGGGGGGGAGGGGCAGGCCAGGTGGGTGGGACACAGAGAGGAGTCACAGGTGGTGACAGAATCTGCGGCTCACCGTCCCTGCCCCGCAGCGTGAAGGTCCTGGAGACAACCCCCCCGCCCCCCCCCACCCCCGCTGCCACCGCCTGCCTTCGGGACACAATCCCAGCTTCCAGGGGCTATGGGTCCAGTCCCGTGATGTGCCGCTCGCCCACCTCTGCTGGGCCTCTCCTCCCTCCACTGCCCACCAGTTCCTGCTTCCCCACCTTCCCACGCCCCCGGCCCTTTGCACGGTTTCTTTTCTGAAGGTGATTTCTACCCGCGCAGGGTATGCCCAGTGGCGGTGGAGCAAGCTGCCACCGAGGCAGGCAGAGCCCGACCCCCCAAGCCTTGAAGGGCAGGGTGAGCTCAGGAGCCACTTCAGGCTTAATCAGACTTGATCTGACTTAGGTCTGAAAAGCAGCCACCCTGGGCACGGCGGAGAGAAGAGTGTAAGGCCAAGGTGAAAGCTGGGAGGCCCGCTGGGGGCTAAGCGGCGTCCGGGGGAGGGGGGAGGGGCTGGGCTGGCGCAGGCAGTGGTGGCGGTGGGACGCAGTGGGTGCTGCATGTGGAAGGTAAAGCCACCAGGATCTGCTGACAGGTCTGCGGGAAGGACGAGGGGAAGAGCAAAGGGCGGGGTGTGGAGGGCGGGGCTCGATGACCCCCGGAACAGGCATGCCCTTCCCGCGACGGCCCCGCAGGCCGCAGAGCTGGGCCAGCACCAGGGACGCACCCGACCTGGCCTGAGAGTCTACAGATGGAGAAGCGTCACCAAGGATACACGACTAGTCCCTTGTGGTCCCCAAACTCCCCCCAGGACCCTGTAAGCCTGGGGTTAATGACTCCATTTAGCTGCTGTCTTTCCACCCACGTGGGAGCGAGCCCCCCAAGGGCAGGGATGGGCCTCGAGCTCACATCCCGAGCGGTGGGAGGAAGGGGGGGCCCCTCAGGACCTACGAGGTGCCTGAAATACATGCTCCTAACTCCACGCGGGTCCACGTCCTTATTTTCATTTTCCGGCCGTGTGCGGGGATCTGCCCGGGCTGCAGCCGGTTGGGGTGAATACAGACTCAAGCCCAAGTCCGTCTGAGCCCAAAGCCAGGGCTCTGCGTCAGGTCAGGCGGCCGCCAGGGTGACTTGCTAAGGCCGGAGCTGCCACCAGGGAACCGGAAATTAAACCAGAATGAAATTCTACGCTGCTGTGGCCAAACTTCCTAACAAGCGGATCTGCTAGCGGGGGGGACGGGAGACAGGTCTGTGGCGGCAGAGCCAGCGCCTGGGGACAGCTCAGGGTGGCCTGGGGGGAGGCCCCACCCAGGCCACTGGTCCCTGGAAGGCATGGGAAAAACAATCCCTTTTCCTCGAACTAAAGCAAATGCTATTGGGGTGGGGGGGGGACGCACTAATGTAAATGGGCCAAGGCTGTTTTTTCACCATCCTTATAATCCAATCCTGAGTCTTTTTAAAATGGATGGGGAAAAAAAAAGGATTCCAGATGGTAGTCGGAGCGGAGCTACGTCAAACTCAGAAAAACCCATCGGAAGCTGTCTCAGAATCTCAGCATTTCAGGATCTTGGGGTACTGGATTCAGAGACACAGAAGTGGAGACCCCAGAAGTGCCAGACCCCGCCCCCACCCCGCTCAGCCATCCCAGACGCCAGGGCTGGCACAGCTGCGCGCTGTCTGGTCGCTGTGCACCGGCTGTTCCCGCCTCCCAGAATGCCCTTCCCCACCTTTTTCATCTTTCAAATAGGATCAAACCCCTTCTCACCCTTCGAAAGCTGGCTGGCAGCTGGCAGTTCCGTAGCAGGGACGCCCTCCTTCCCAGTCCCTCCCCCGCCCTGACGCTGCACGCACTCCTGCTTGGGGCTCGCTTATGGGTCCATCTCTCCAGAGACCCCAAGCTAACCCATGGTCTCTGCAGGGGCCCTGCGTCGACTGGGAGTGCCCGACAGAA